TTTTTTAGCGCTGGACTGTGTGGCATCGTCGCTATCCGTGGAAAAGTTTTTCTTAACCGGCGAAGGTTGATAACAGAAAATGTGATGCATCATTTTGATTTTATGCCATTTATCATACGAGAACTGTACAAGTTCGTTTTCACGAACCTAAAAGTAAAGAATAAGAATAATTAAGCCATGAAATGACAAACCGGCAATATTACTTAGAATCGTTCATAACTACAACAAACACATTAAATTATATGTATTATTGAAGTGAAACTTCTTTAGCAGTGGTAATAAATTTAAAAAATTTCAATAAAACATGTGCCAATCGGGATGTAACGGAAGTTAATACTGAGAATAAATTATTGAAACATGCAATGCAGCGATTTAAGATTAAGATTAAGTCCCAGATACAGTATAGATTAGGATTGAGTACAAGTAATGTATCGAGAGAAGTTTCACTTCAGTATTATTTCGCACTTTACCTCGGCGGTTCGATAGTTGGGCAACACAAAATTCAAAATATCCGAGCACAGCGACAGTACTTTACCGCCACACAAAAAATAGTCAACTAATATTTCACCAATGTTTGTAGGTACAGTGCCACAAACCACCAAGAGAGCAGTGTTTTCCATCCAAAATTGTTGTGACAATTGCTGAGGGGACATTGCATAGACTGTGTACCTGTGTAGGGAATTGTGGAGGCAATTAATAACTGTCCTTAGCACATTTAATAGAAACCCCTACTTGTCGCGTTCCAAAATCTCCTTGAGCGTAGTTAGTGTTCCCTCACGAGAACTTGCGCTCTCGGAATACACAAATATATTGGTTGGTTTACTTGGACGAGAATCTGCTTTATGTCTTTTTAAGCTTGGACGCTTTGTAGCGTCATTGCCAGATAACGCAGTTGAGTTTGTTGTTGCAGAAGTGGTCGAACCGCTTCCATTAGTCTTATTTACATTCGGTGGCCGTTGCGTTACTTCAGAGACCGGAGATTTTTGTTTCATTGTCGACACCGCTGCCGAGGCCAACTTAACTAATTCACTAGGTTTACTTTCGACAATGCTGGAAGGCATTTTGGCGTGTGCTGTGGTAGTTGTAATGACGGCAGCAGCCGCAGATATGGTAATTGGTGTATCCATGAATCGAAGTTCCGGTGTTTTTCCTAATGATTTCACTTCAGAAGTTTCTGTTGTCAGTGACGACTTAGACGTATTGTGAAGAGGTTCAGAGATCTAACAAATTGATAAAAAAAAAAAAATTGTTTATACAAATTATACACATTTTAGAGCAAAACAAACCTTTGTGGTTTTAAAACGACTCTCCGCCGTAGTGCCACCAACAGTGTTCTTTGCAGCACCTGGTTTCTTAACTTCAGTCGGTTTAGCGCGCATTTTTGCCAAAGGTGAAGAGGTCATAGCCGATGTTTCAGTTTCACTAGGGACTTTTGTACAAACCGTAGATTTGGTAGGTGTGGCTGTTGAGGCTGTTTTAGTGCTGGGCGTTGTAGTAGAAGATTTGCCGGCAGTGGCAACTTCTGCGGTCTCTACTTCTTGCGTGCCACTAGCTTTAGGCTCTTTCTCCAGAGCAACTTTCTGCTGCTCGTAAGGTATTAGGTCTGGCTTTACTGGGACGGCGCTAGTAACTTTTCCTTCAACACGACCCTTTTGACTTTCAAATTCGGTGGCTTGATGGGCTAAAACGCTTAACGCGCGCAAGTCATCTAAATGCCTCTGCCACTCCTCTTCACTTAACTTCTGCTCGGTATGACGTACGGGCTTTCGCAAATGGCTTGCCAACATGTTCAATGGCTGTGGCTTGCCTTCATAGTTAATTGCTGGCAATACCAAATAGAAAGTCAGTTGCAAAACGCATTTGTATATACTTTGGTGGCAGAAATAGTATACTCCCTTATTTTGACCAGTTTTGCCTATGTTTCTTTAGTTTATTGAATGTTTAATATATTTTTTTTTTTATTCTGGCTAATTATACAACAAACACCATACAAATCCAAGGTCCATACGAAACTATAAAAATCCATTGAATAAACCAAAGAAATAAGTCGTCAAAACTATTCAAGATAAGGCGAGTTATTTCTGCCACCAGTATATGTACGAATGTATGTTTGCCTTGCGCAAAATAATGTTAGATACATACAAATTAAAAATTATAATCAATTTTGAGAAAATTCAAGTATGTATGTAATGTGAACATATGTATATGTACATACATATGTACATTTAAAATAAATTAGGTTTAGTATAAAATTTGTCTTCAGCTTACACTCAATCCTCAGTAATTGTAGCTGATCATTTATGAGGAAATTATTTTGTAAGTATGTGGACAACAATAATTTGGTGAAATGCTCCACATCAGTCTCAATGAGCACAGCAAGATGGGAGTCAACCTTCCATGCTATTAGCTTACCAAAATTTTCAATCTGTAACCATTATAAAAGAAAAGTAAACAACGTCAATAGTATAAAAGAGAATGTTAAGAGCATTTTTTCGTTGAACTATGGAATTTGTAAAAATGAGTTTGTTAGTAACGGAATGTTAGTAACATTTTTTGTATGCAAAGTTAACGAAAAATTCCTTCGTACTTACATTTGAAAATTCTAAGTTTCTATTTCTTGGTTTAAGGGCGTCTTAAAGGATAAGCAAGAACCCATTATTTTGTTTAGCACAAAATTAACTTCCCAAAAAAAAAATGTTATTTTGAGACGTCTCCAGAAGATGCTGTTTAATATGTGCATTTTAGAAACTAGAATACTATTAATACATTAGCTAAAAATGTAATTTCTGGGCTCGAAGGTACAAAAATACTACAGGAATATGTATAAGGTAAATTTAAAGAATACAGAGTGTATTCTAAAAAAAATAATGCTTAAAAGATCCGATATTTGTTATTGTAATAACATCAGCCAAAACTATTTGTTAATAAAACAGTTATTTATTGAATCTTAAAAGTAGTTTTTCACATCGTATTGGAAACGTGCCCTTCTATGAGCACATATATGTATAGGTATGTATGTATGTATATTATTACATGCCTTCTGTTTATAAAGAGGACTCTATTCCCCACCCCTTATCTTTGTTGAAAGCCAAAATAAACAAGCATACAACACATACTCAACCCCATTCAAACGGCTGGTGATGTAACGAGTAAAATGGAACCATAAAACAATGATGGCATTGTTTTGTCAATACATATTATGCCATTATGCATGGACATGAAATGCTAACTGAGGGCAGACATGAAAAACCAATTACAAACTTTGGGACTTAACCCTGAGGCAACTGAGATTTATTGACATGCTGCTAGTCATACTTTTCAACTTACAATAATTACTTACCCGCACAGAATCCACCAGGTCACTTTCATTACTAGGTTGAGTTTCAGTCTCCAATAGTAGATGCAAAATTTTGCCTTTGCTTGAGCCCGCTAAACGTTCCAACAAAGCTGCTGGAGCATTTGAATGCGCAAAGGGTAACAGCATGGTTTCTGGCGACACTGAATTTTCTCCAAATGATATCCATGGCATAAGTTGAACAACCTGCATCGGTGATAGACAGCAGCCTCGATGCACGCCATTTAACCAAAGTATTTCGGTAACACGCGCTGCATTTCGATTGTAGCACAAGTCAGATGCAGCTAAAGTAGGATCTGTGTGAAAAATTTTAAATTACTTTCAGTTTTTTTTAACCCTTACTTTTATCTTACCAAAACCGTCGTCAGTTCCTGTGGGCAAAGTATAGAAAGCTATGCTCGACTTTTGAGCCAATTGCTGGCATATCTTGGTACACACGTTTTTAATGCGCTGCGACTGCAGAAAAGTAGCACTGGCATAATATAAGGTCAACATTTTGGTAACGACAAAAAATATGTTTTAAGCAACTTTTAGAGAATAAGGAATCTCTTGTTATTTAATGTATGTACTTATTCGTTGACAAAGCTATTCGTAATTGTTTAGTGCAAACCACTTCACTGCGACCTAGCATGCCGTTTTATAACTTTCAATGAATATTCTTTGGAGGAAGAATATTTGGGGAAATAATTGGATTTCGTAATTGCTATTATTTGAATTTACTCCGCAATGCAAATTCTTAGACGTACTACCATTGCATTCGTTCTTTCGACCGTTGCATTTATCGACTGCGTTTTTGAGGAAGCCTTGCTCACATTTTTCGCAAATTTACTTGTCATCCACTTTTTCTCTTTCCCACATCACCCCTTGATCTTTTCGTCCGCGTTATCTTTCACTTTTCACATATGTTCATGACATATGTATGGATTTCGCTAGTTTACATGCCATTTTTTGATTTATTTTTAAACATTGACATTTGTTGTTGTCCGTGATATGTTATCACTAGAACTTTTTCCTTTCACCCAATTAGAATAGCCGGTTGACAGCATGAGGCAATTATGATCCAACTAAATGGAGAACAAAAACAGAACTGATAAAAGTAATAAAAACAAAAATCGAATTGGAAATACCGAAAAGTGAATACAAACCAAGAAAAGAAAGAGGCAAGACAATCGACGGACAGTGTTGCCAGAGAAATCCCCTAAAAATCTTGATTTTTTCCCAAAAAATATTCAAAATAAGATTTTAAAGCTAAAAAAATCTTTTCGATCCCAAAAAATCTTCTTTTAAAAATACCTAAAAGAAAACACAAAATTCGATATTGTCTTTGCGGCTGTAAATAGTCCTTATTATGTTGGTTGAAAAAATTACCAATTTCAAGTTATAAAGTTCTTTTTATAACAACTTAAACTTAAAATGAATATTGCCTCGTATCATCACAAAATTTGTACCACAGTTAACATATGTATATATACGCTGGCGAAAATATAAATAGGGATGCGACATTTTGCAAGTTTTGACCGACCTCAAAAAAGGAGGAGTTTATCAATTCGTTCGAATATTTTTTTATGTATATATGTTACTGCATAACTTTGGACTACTTGAACTGATGTCGATAAGTCCTTTTTATCGGATAGGTGGTTCCTCAGGGGTGGTGCCATACTAATTTGGTTTAGATATGGTTATTGGATCATGAAGAATTGACGATCAATTTTTATATGAGAATTGAAGTCGCTTGTGTTTTTTGTTTAAAAATTATATGTTTTTTTTTATGTAAGAATAGCTCGTAATCTATCAAAAACCGTTAGTCCAAACTTCAATCCTTGTACAAAAGGTAAGAAAATTCGACAAAGTTTTTTACATGGGCGTTGTTTTATAAATCTCTCCGCCCCTTTTTTACTCGTTATACATTGTATTTTCTATTTGGTTTTACACGCTTAAATTTTGTTGAATCCAAGATTTGGTTTCTGCTTTTGTTTAAATGGGAAGCAGAGAAAATGTCAAAAGCAAAGCAAGAAACTTGAAACGGCTTGAGGGTAAAAACGCACGTTAACTCTACCCTTTTTTACTCACCCCCTTTCTTCCAATTCAATACCTGAACCGTATAAAACCTGTTAAGAGGGTCGGAGCATCTATCAACTTTCCACTTGAAAAGGTAGACTAAAAAGAATACAATGATCCTTTCCTTTTTTTCCTCGGTATTTTACAATCCTCAAGGAAGTCTCATGAAATGCTTTTGATAGGGTAATGATCTTGGTCGAAATCAGCAACTGTTTCCATATTTTGATAAGGCTTCCCTGAGGAGCCCTCTAGTCGAAGGAGAAAGAGAGGCCAGTCATTGAATCCTTTTGATCTTTGCTCTTTTAAGTTGGAAAAGTGGGAGTTATTTCTCAGCGCTTTTATTATGTGCCTGAAACAAGCACAAAAAAGTTTTGAATATGCCGAGAAAGGTGGTTATTTTCTATAACTTGCTTAGTAAATTGTTTAAATGGGTATGGCAACAATGGTTTATGCACAAATATTCATCCATACAGGCATATACAAAATCAACTTTTGGCTATCCATATGTTTTGGCTTCGACGACGTCAATTGGACAAGGCAAAGTTTTTTATTATTCATTTTTAAATACAAATTAAGTTATTTGCTGCAACATCAAAAATCATGCCGGTAAATATAAATTAATGTACATAGCATTTGTGCCAATATATCTTTGTTGGGGGTGCGGTCTTCGCTGTGCATCGAATTTAAAATCTTTGCCTTCATCATGTTCTAATTTTATGTACATATGTATATACATCTTCCAGGCGTACCATTCTCAGATTAAGGAATTTCCTCAAGTGGTTGGTAACATGGCACTTTTGCCCCTACGCACTCAAGCTCGTGGGCCTGCTCCTAGTGTCAATGTAGAATCTGATATCATTGATGAGTCACTGTATTACTTTAAGGCAAATGTTTTCTTTCGAACTTATGAGATAAAGGTAATTAATACAGACCTACTTATGAATGTTTAAATATTTTATTATGTTGATTTAAAGAATTTGGCAATTAAATCCTTCCATCTGTAAAATTACTGCATACTGATTTTTTTCTATCTACTATTTAGTCGGAAGTAGATCGTGTGCTTATTTATATTACACTCTATATAACTGAATGTTTGAAGCGCTTGCAACGTTGCAACAACAAAAACCAAGGTGCTCAAGAAATGTACAGCTTGGCCATTTCAAAGTTTGATATACCAGGTGATTCTGGGTTTCCATTAAACGCAGTTTATGCTCGACCACAGAATGCACAAGAGGCTGGTAAGAAACTTATATTTTCAATATAACGGCTCATTTGTATACATACATACACATATGATTCTTACAGATTTGATGCGTCAGTATTTTTTACAATTGCGCCATGAAATAGGAAATCGGGTTTGTGAAAAAGTTTTCAGCACTGACGACGGCAAGCCAAATAAGTGGTGGATTTGTTTTGCCAAGAAAAAGTTCATGGAGAAATCTTTGTCAGGCCCAGGGCAATAAGAATCTGCGTAACATTGTTCAAAAGTATGCTTCTCATATTACTTATTTAATGTATTAATTGTATTGTTCCAGTAACTTTAACAACACCGTAGAGTATGCCATCATCGTGAATGATACCTAAATGAGTCGTTATAATAAAAAATATTATTATGTGGATAATCAGCAGGGTTTTACATATTTTGCGTATTAACATTACTTATGGATTTATTGAAACGTTTTCATTATAATAAATTTAAACTTGTTTAAAAACTCCAGGTTTTGAAGCATAAAGTTTTCAACGGTACAAATGATCTGCTTGCAAGTTGGACGCAATTTCCGATTCCCATTTGTCACCATTGCAAAGTAACTTCTCCTTGTTGTACAATAATTCTTCGTGAGTTTCAGTAGAGAACTCAAAATTAGGACCTTCAACAATAGCATCGACTGGGCAAGCTTCCTATAAATGCCATAAACCAGTTAATAAAGTTTGAAAATTTTGTTCCGTAGTATCGCATACCTGACAAAAACCACAATAGATACACTTGGTCATATCGATGTCGTAACGGGTTGTACGTCTACTACCATCCGACCTTGTTTTTGCTTCAATGGTTATGGCTTGTGCTGGGCAAATCGCTTCGCATAACTTGCAGGCAATGCAACGCTCCTCACCACTTGGATAACGCCTTAGAGCATGCTCCCCGCGGAACCGAGGACTTAATGGACCCTTTTCAAAAGGATAGTTGATGGTTGCTGGTTCTTTAAATATATGCGCTAAAGTGACAGCAAATCCACGAAACAGTTCTCCTAGAAACATGGTCGATGCCGCACGATCGGTAATCTCGTTGATTTCCATACTCAACTCCTTGTTGTTTACATACACATAGCCTTTCGGTACAGTCACTACATCCTTTCCAGCCGAACACATGCGGAGGCTGGTGCCAAACATACGTTGACCTGTGGTAATTTCATATTAATTTAATTTAGTAGACTTCTCAAGATATGACATAACTTCCATAACCTCAACCATTTGTACAGCAAGCAAATATAAGTTATTGCTGCTACAATAATAAAAGGAGAGGCTGCTCACCATTTCGCGAAAGAATGAAAACTTTAGCTGGTAATGACATTTTGTCTGCAAAACAGCTTCCAACCTCCAAATTTTTTATTTAGTGGCTCTTTGGTGCGTCTCACTGCAAGCGATGGCTGAAAACAATTCTTTGATTTATCGATGAAATGTCAAATATTTTTCTGATAATGTCACCGTGTTTTGTTGTGCTCGATTGTTCGTCTATAATTTTTTTCGGTGAAATGACTTGTGCTGCCAAGTTTGAATAATGCCAATTAGAAAAAAATCTTTAGTTGTTTTGGAGTAAATTTGTTAAAAAATCCACAATGATACAATAAATATTTAATATAAAATAAATAAAAATAGTTACTGAAAATATCCAATTTTTGGTTTTGGTAAAGAAGCGTAAGAAATAAAAAAAAAGTGCTGCTGCAAAGGACCGGAGCGGATGAACAAATTGTAGTTTCTGCGTATGAGGCCGAGCAATAAAACAACCAAGATGAATAGCTTATTTACTAAATCTATTAAACTTAACAACCTTGGACGTGCAGTACCATTAGCAATTTTTAAAAATTGTGAAATTATTCTTATTCGCCAATTCTCTAAGCAGGAGTCAAAGCTCGCAAAGTGAGTACATATTTCTGAAACATGTACGTACATTATTCCTTGAAAGTCGCGGAGCGTTATGAAATATCTAGGGTTTTCGTTTGCAAATGCAATAAATGCGCATTTTCCACAATAAGTATTGAAAGGAGGGGATTTCTATAAAAAGAGTGGCATTTGATTACATAACAAATTGCAATCAAGAACAATAGCATTTTTTGATAATACATCTCATTTTGTAGATTAGCTGAGGTAGGACGATTGGAGACCGCCAAATTGGATGGAAAATATGAAACTGGCCAATTGTTTCTGCACCGCATATTCGGATACCGGGGTGTTGTCCTTTTCCCATGGTCTGCGCGCGTATACGATAGGGATCTACATAATCCGAACAAGCAGAAACAAAGAGTGAATGTCAATAGTTCTTCTGATGCAGCGGTTGCGAACGAGAGAGGAAAACGGAGTACAGGTGGTCACATATCGACTTCAACCGAAAACGCACCATCTGAGCAAGGAAGTACGGAAGCACAATCAACGGTTGGAGATGTAAATACGAGCTCATCTTCTACGACCAGTAATTCCGATACATCCGCGAAAGAGGTGAAGGGCAAACTACATACATTCTATCAAGTGCTAATTGACTCACGCGATTGCCCGTACATTGTAAGAAAATATATTATGGCAGCATACATGAGACTTGATTAGAACTTCTTTTTTCGTTAAGCGTGCGCAAACTGAGGCAGTGACATTCTTAGGGAATCAGGATTCGAATCGCAGCCTTTACGCTATTCCAGGCCTAGATTATGTAGCACATGATGATATAATGCCTTATTCGACAGGGGAGAAACATCCACTGCAACACGAACTTTTCGACAAGTTTTTGACACATGTACCAGACAAAGAACCACCTTTTCAAGGCCAGGATACGTTGAAAGCATGGCAGGAGAAAAACCACCCTTGGTTGGAATTAAGTGATGTTCATAAGGAAACCACGGAGAATATACGTGTTACTGTGATACCTTTCTATATGGGCTGTCGTGAAACCCCTGCCTCTTCTGTTTACTGGGTGAGCTTACAATTGCTAATTTTTAACTTGTATTCTTCAAAAGCTTATATATATATATATATATTTGTAGTGGCGATATTGCATACGTCTAGAAAATTTGGGTGTACTTAGCGTACAGTTACGCGAAAGACATTGGCGTATATTTTCTCTTTCGGGCACACTGGAAACTGTTCGTGGACGTGGAGTTGTTGGACAAGAACCTATTCTCAGCCCCAGATTGCCGGCATTTCAATATAGCAGTCATGTTAGTTTACAAGCACCTAGCGGACACATGTGGGGAACATTTCGGTTGGAGCGAGAAGACGGCCACACCTTCGATTGTAAAATACCTCCATTCTCTCTAGAAAGTAAACCCGAGGAACCAGGAACTGGACTCTCTAACACTGGGGCTAACGGTGGCGGCAATGTTGGTAGTAATAAACCGGACAACGTCGAATAATTCGATATGTTGCACACAATTATGGAACTGTATAGATATGATTGACGTATCCCAATTTGAGGGAACAAGAAAATAAAGGTAGTAAGTTTAAGTAGTTCACTTCTATTTATCAAGTGTGTAAAATAAAAAGTCGCTTACTGATAGCAACGTAATTTCAGCTGAAGCTGAAATCTGGAGACTGAATTGCTATATTTGCTGGTACTTCAAAATTCTCACCCTTATTGCGAGTGTCGACTAGTAGTACATAAACGACTGTTAGTCGATTATCGATTATTCGTGGTATTTCAAACTCGTTTTCCTGTTTAATAAGAACGCGTGAATAGTTTATAGTCGCTCATGCTTGTACAATTAAACAGTTGTAGAAAAATTAGTAATAAACAAGTAATTTTTAGCAAAAAAAACCGACTTCAATTCTCATATTATATATATATATATATATATATATATCTCATGATCCACTGATCGGATCTTAACCAGATTAGTATGGGACCACCTCTGAGCCACTACCTTTGCGATGCAAAAAGAATTATCGAATCGGTTTACGTGGTCCAAAGTTATATTCCGACGAACTGGTAACCTCCTCCTTTTTGGAAAGTCGGTTAAAAACTATTCACAGTCGCCCATTGAACGAGAAATCGACATTCACAAAACCATGGAAAAGCGATAATCGAATAAAAGTCGTTTATCTACTACTAGTCGACACTCGCAATGTGGGTGTCTACTATTTTTAACATTATAGCACTTAATTACAGTTGCTATTCATGATGAAACATTTTCATTTCAGTGGCGATTCACATCTGCAAACCATCTGAGGTTGCGTTGCTATCCCAATTCGACATGTTTGTGTATAGATATGTTATTCTAACTTAAAGAAGGCAAACCTAGGACATTCTGAAAATAAATTGTCAATTGTTTGTTTAAATTTAATGTAGACATTTTATTTATATATGTATACCAAATTAACCATGAATACCTACTATATGATGAGAATTAATTTTCTATGGCTTTGATATTTGTTGGCTTCAATTGAGCTCGAAAATTTAGTGGTCGCGCGTTGTCTTGTATACAGAAAATTTCTTGCAGAGCATTAAGGGAAGCAGTTTTAATTGCTGTAGCCACGTCCTCTCCAAATCCTTTAAAATTTTCAGTAAAAAGGAGAAATTAATTTTGTCTTCTAATTTTTTTTTAGATATTTAAGTTTTGTTTTCTCAACTTACCATGTCCAAGTAGTGTTTTATTTGCATATATTCCTACATGATATGCAGCTAGCACTGTATTCTTACCGCAATCTCCAAGTAAACGCGGTTCCATCTCACCCATTTTTCTCTCTTCACAGATTTGCTTTAACATTTGTTCCGGGTCCGCAATGTGCCATATATCAAGTAAATCGCGTTGATTCATTTGAGTACAAATAAAATCACGTATGAAAAGGAAAGCACGTTCTTGTCCGCTGGTTTGCTCAATTGCACTGATTACAGCAAGTAAAGATCGGGCCATAGATTCTTTTTCTGGTGGATAATCTGCATCAAGTAGTAGTTCTATCATACCCAGGTGTGAACCAATGTGAGAAAGCATATCTGTGCTTAGCAAATATGCTGCGAATGCATTTATCCCTTCCAAGGGTACATCCGGAAACGAATGCTTTAGGTAAGCATGCACACACTCGTTAGCTAAATATGCACCACGTTCAGAAAGCTGATTGTTATCTTGCATCTGTATATCAGAATCCTTAATACCAAGGTCTTTTTGACGTTGGTACTCTTTTTCTACATATGAAGGCTGTGTGAATGCCGTCTGTAGCATATCCAATTGGAACTCTTCGTGCAGTCTTTTACCAAACGCAAACAGTTCAGCACGGTAATTCCACTCTATAAATCCCGACCGAGGTTGTGGTAACTGCGGCCCTAGTTTTTTCTGGCGTCTGCGAAGTTCACGTAATGTCGGCGCCACCCAACGCTTAAAATAGCGTGATTGATCTAAATGTAAGTTTTGAAACCATATCACTTACAAACAATAAATACTTTAACAATTTACCTAACACTGGATGTATATTATTGAACCTTTTGGGTTGAGTGATAAGGCGCAGTGTAGTCCGAATTAGAGACATTTTACCAAGTTTTGCTAATCAATGGCGGTCTGATCAAAAATTATCTAAATACGAATTAAAAATCAGCTGGTAGGTACGTAGCGATGTCTAGCTATTATCGATAGCTATCGATTTTTTTCTTCGCTTTTAGCACGTACCCATAATACAAGGGGCCTCCGCACACTAGTCTTCTAAATCAGACTGAGTAGTCACCCCTCGAACGCACACTGGACTGGGCATTCGGCCGAAAACAGGTTTCTGTTTTGTAACATGAACTACGCTCGATTAAAGGAAACTTCTCATTATGGCCGTTCGTTAAAGGTGCGGTGGACGAAGGGGGAGGTGGCGTGGCACCTCCAATCGACCTTTTTGGAAAGGGCATGAACCGCCATTGACAAAAATGCAACCCCTGACCGCCTAGGCCCCCTATCATTCCCTACGGATCCCTTAGAAAAATTGCCAAAAATCGCAATTTTTACTTGCGTCCACAGCATTTTTTCGTAGAATTCCTTTCTGCGTAGGCGGCCTTTGGCCGCGCTTAGGGATTATAACCCTTACTACGTAGAATTCTCCTTTCTGTGTGACCTTGGGAAAGGATGAGGTAACTAGAATTCCCTTTCTGTGTGGTAAACAAACTTAATAAATATAATTTGACGTATAATTACTAATTACAAAATTGATGGAATAACCTGGTTACTTGTGGACCGCTAAGGTTCCAACCAAGAAAACAAAACACATATTTTACAAAAAGGTAAAGAATGTACCATGGTGTACCATGAACCAATTAGAACATATCTGACCGGTTGACAAGCAGCCATTTGCAACAGCATTTGAGAAAAAAGTGTGTGACGTTCGTAATTTTGAAGTTTGCTATTTCTGTTTTGTTTTTTAAATCTCTTTCTTTTTGTATATTTTGGCGGTGGTTTATATCAGTAAATTTTAAGCAATTTTCAATTAATTTTTATTCAAATATAATTGAAATGAAGGGCGAGGTAATCGGTTGCGAACACGTACAAAAATAACACTTTGGTTAGCATAAACATACGCTCAAAAATTGCTTCCATTTTTTTTCATTATGCCTCGCCTCCATGTTCTATGTTTACTTTTGTTTCATTTCAAAGAAAATAACATGGCGCCGAAATTACAAACATCAGCTAGAAAATCACTATTTTCTTTTACTTCATCTAGCCAGATCTTGTGTAGTTGGATCATAATGGTGTAGAAGTAAATTGAATTTTGATGTGCCAAATGCAAGCAAAATTTGGCAGTTAAAAAAAAAAAACAAATAACCACTCGTGCGAAAGCTATATTATTGTGTGTCGCTGAAATTGTTCAAATTTATATCTATTTCGCAACTTCCAAGAAGCGTACGCTTTTTTGGCCCATAGTCCGAAATCAATTATAAAAAATCGATATTTTACGTTTTATCATCGATAATATCGATGAAAATGGGGTATATCTAATCTGACAAGGTGTCGCCGTTGCCGTCATTCGATAGATTGTTTTCAGCGTTTTTAATTGTGGGAAATAATACAAAAGGCGTTATAAAATAGACTGTTTATTCTTAAAAAGTGTTAATAAATGGCATTTCAAACATATGGTGATAAGCCTGTGGCTTTCCAACTTGAGGAAGGTGGCGAATACTACTATGTGGGTTCGGAGGTCGGCAACTATATGCGCTTATTTCGTGGCATTTTATATAAAAAGTATCCTGGTATGACGCGGTTGGTACTCTCAAATGAAGAACGCAAACGGCTCGCTGATTCTGGGCTGAGTTCACATATATTGGCCAGTTCAGTGTCGCTACTGCGAGCCGTCGAAGTTGACGATATAATCGCCGGGAATGATGAAAAGTAAGTTGCTTTCTATGTATGTATATACATTGGTTCATGGGTGTTTATGTATGTCAACAGTCATGAGTAATATTTATGCAATATAATAAAACAGATATCGAGCTATATCGGTAAACACTTCAGAAACACCTCTACCACGGGAGAGTAAATCAAAAAAGCAGCCACAGTATGTTCCCACGATGCCGAACTCCAGTCATTTGGACGCAGTTCCACAAGCTACTCCGATCAATCGCAATCGCGTTCACACCAAAAAAGTGCGAACGTTTCCCATGTGTTTTGATGATACGGATCCAACTGCTAATATTGAAAACGCAGCACAAAAGGAATGTTTAGTGCCGATTCGTCTAGACATGGAGCTAGAAGGTCAAAAGTTACGAGACACATTTACTTGGAATAAAAATGGTAAGCGTATTATTATTATTTTTTAAGTTACTTCCTAAAGCAGCCTATATATTAGGCGATTTATTGACAGGCGATAATCGCCTGCAAAAGTTGATTTGCTGTCTACTTTGAAGCATGAACGAAAGACACAAGATCACGCGCGAACGAAAGAAAGAAAAAAGTAATTTTCTAGCTCTCGAAATCTCGACGCCATCACGACGCATGAATAATAATTTTTATTATACAAATTCTTCTATAAATCATGTGTTAAGTTGTTCTTTACCTTAGGGAGCGTACCCGTACTACGTGAGCCACTTTTTCTAATTTTTGACTTTTGAATTTTTTCGAAAAAACGCTAGGTTTCCTTAGAGGATGTTGACTACGTGATAAACAGGTAGGCCCCCGCCCCCACCTACTGTAACCAAGTGTGGTATTTTGAAGATTCCCCTCCCCCCTGAACGGGTCACGTAGTATAGGTATGTTCCCTTATGTCTACACACAAGAAGATTCCCAGTAAAAAGCCACCACCAAATTGTAAGCAACGAACAAATGTACACAACCGGCTAATGTCAAAGTCGCCCAACTTTTTTCCTAAATGCGATTATAAGAAGCTACTGGCTTGCTGGCGTGATCTTGTATTTGTTCATGACTTTGAAGCACGCTATTTTCGAATCACCATTTAAACAAACGATTTTTGTTGAGCAATATGGCCTCATGTAATGGCAGCTTTATTCTTTATAAAAGAATGGCAAGAGTTAATTGGCCAGCAAACATGATTAAAAAAATGCCTAAACTTGGAATACAACTTTAATTTTGAAGTATATAAACTTTTTTTTTGTCTTTATAGAAAGCATGATAACGCCCGAACAGTTCGCGGAAGTACTTTGTGATGATTTGGATCTAAATCCCATACCCTTTGTACCAGCCATTGCACAAGCAATACGACAGCAGATTGAAGCATTTCCTAATGAACCACCTATATTAGAGGAAAGTTGTGATCAACGTGTTATTGTAAAGCTAAATATCCATGTGGGTAACACATCCCTTGTAGATCAAGTTGAATGGGATATGTCTGAAAAGAACAATAATCCCGAGGAATTTGCTATAAAATTATGTGCAGAGCTTGGTTTGGGGGGAGAGTTTGTAACAGCAATTGCTTATAGCATACGAGGTCAATTATCGTGGCATTGCCGTACTTATGCCTTTAGCGAGGCTCCTCTATCAACTATCGACGTTCCATTCCGAAATCCTAGCGACGCTGATGCATGGGCACCTTTCCTTGAAACATTAACCGATGCTGAAATGGAGAAGAAAATACGAGATCAAGATCGTAATACGCGCCGTATGCGTCGTTTAGCCAACACTACTACCGGCTGGTAGACTAACAACATTCGAATTAGTTATCATGCCTAATACGTTATCCAACGGATAGCATCCGCACGAATGTAAACCGATTCGCAGTTCCAACAAGCGAGTAAAGAGGATTAGATTCGTGCGAATGGCATCCCTCGGATAAGTGCCTACTCTGGTCCGACAGATACCTTTACAGATACGAATGTAATCCTTCACACACTAGCTTGTTATGACAGTGCGAATCAGATTATATCCGTCGGATACCGTAATAGGTATATATAGATATGTATATCATATTTGCATACATACATACACCGGCGATAAAAACTGAGTGCACGGTAATTTTTGCTAAATATTTGGAATGCTGTAAGCAAAAAAAAATATATAAATTAAAAATCATCACGATGTTTTAGCCACTTAAAACTTGATTTGTTTTGTTAAAAATTCAGATTAAAAATTTTAAGATTTTAATTAAAATTGTGTTGAGTGTGTCTAATTCTTAATTTTGTACAGCACGAACAATGTTTTTTATAAAAATAACAACAAAAAAAAATTCGAAAAAATTAACAAAAATCACCATCACTCACTTTTCATCGCCAGTGTATATGGTTTCCATCAGCTTGATCATCCGAAGAAAATAATAAATTTTATAAAAGCTTGTATTTTTCCCGATTTCCTTATAAATATTCATAGATGTAAAGAAACCAATTTAATAAATTTCCACTCAGAAAATTTGCTGAGAACTTCCACAATTGTCGCTACTTTTTTGCTGATTTAAGTCCAGGGGCTACTCTGTAATGCGATGCGAAAGAGAAATGCGAAGCGATTTGCAAAATAAAACTAAACCATGCAAATGGATTTAAACTTTCAGCAAATAGATTTAAACTTTGGGCAAATAAATTTAAAGTTCCGGCAAATAAATTTAACTCTTGGTCAAATAAAATTGAACTCTACTGTGTGTGAAAAATACACTAAATACAGCAAGTACCAGTTTTTCAAACACTGTTTAGTACCACAGTATTCCAGTAGAGTTTAATTTTATTTGCCCAAAGTTTTCATTTATTTGCCTAAAGTTCAAATTTATTTTCTGACAGCTTAAATCCATTTAACTGGAATTTTATTTCCTTCCACGTTCTATGAATAAATCTCTTACTATTACTTGTCAGTTATCGGCGATGTCGATAATATAATTTCTTATTCTTGCCTTTTGATTTGCCATAAAAAAAATCGCTCTTTAGAGTAAAGCATTAACCTTAAAATTTCTACTCAATTGAAAGGGCTGGGGCTTATATATATAAAACTTACAAGTTATTAAAAGCAATTTTACAACTAATATACTATGCGTCCTAAGAAGCCTTTTCCTATTTTCACTACACAATAATTCGTAATTTTTAGCTTTCAGCCATATCGCCTTTATCTTGATCCGCTTCTCCACTGTAGAATTCATTTTTCGGCTCGACCATTTTATCGTCTTCTGCTTGCGTTATTCGAACATCTGGATCAGATTCCTCTTTCACACGCACCTCCTCCATATCTATGACGTCTGGTGGTATTTGTACCATTTGCACGCTGGGCGAATGTTGACACATCTTTAAATTCTCATAAACATGTTTTACTATTAATTCCAAATATTGTTTAGAATTTGCGTTTTCCTGTCGTGAGTTCACATCTGGATGTAGCGTGAAATCAGGTGCGAAAAATTCTAAATACTCTGACATTGGCAAATCATTAGAAATATTTTCATCTACCAGTAAAGAAGTTTCATGAGTCCAGCAACGGGCCACGTTGCGTAAAGTGTAGCCGCCACCCCCTACAACCAAAGTAGGTACATTTAGTTCCTTAACGAATTTCACACACTCGCCATGTCCACGAGTACTAAGGGAAAAACAGCCCAAACGATCACCAGCAAGGGAATCCGCGCCGCATTGCAAGACAATCGCTGTGGGGCGATAAAAATCCATTACTGCCGAGATTATTGGCTTGAATACTTGAAAATAGCTGTGATCATCAATGCCTTCTTTCAAAGGAACATTTACACTATAGTACCGACCAGATTCAGCACCTATTTCATACATGTCTCCCGTTCCAGGGAAGAAATAGTTTCCGTATTTATGGAAGGAAACAGTCATCACACGGTCGGTGAGGTAAAAAGCCTCTTGCACACCATCTCCATGATGCACATCGATATCTATATACAACACTCTGGGATTGTACTTAAGTAATTCCAGAATGCCTATTACTATATCGTTAACGTAGCAGAAGCCTAAAATTACCGATGGTTAGTTAAAAAAGGAGTCAATTTCAATGACTTACTCACCTGATGCTTCAAATTTTTTAGCATGATGTAAGCCACCTGACCAATTGATGCATATATCACTGTGATTGTGATTCAACTTCTGCGCACCCTCTAGTGACGCACCTGTGTACATTGCACAAAACTCGAATAATCCATCAAACACCGGACAGTCCTCACCCACACTAAAGTGAGACAAGTATTTTGTGTATCCAACGGCTGAAATAAAAGCAAGTAGCATACAAAACTTAAGCAAACATATCTCGGTCGTATTTACTATTGCACTGGATGTTTTGCGGAGTGACTTTCTGCAGAAAGTCAATGTACTCTTCACTGTGAAATCGGAGCATGTCCTGGGCACTTGCTCTACCAAAATGTTAAAAAAACCATTTCATGTGCATATGTATGTATATTTAATAAGCTATTAACTTGGTGCTTGTACGTACTTGTAAGGTCGATATATTTTCATCTTTTTGTGAAGTCCATAGTTCATGACAAGGCTATGGGTAACCGACAAGCGGTGCGGCTTCATTGGATGACCAGGCCCATAATGAAAATTGCCCACATCGGGATTATAAAAATATGATACACGTCGATTGGTAGGAGTTGACATTTTTTGCGTCGGTTTTCTTAGACCTCAAGCGATTTTAAATGCAAATCAATTATTAAAGTGTATATTATCGTCATGGAATGCGAGTCTTTTAGCAAATAATATGAAAAGCAGTACAATGACTATCAACATAAGCCGACGCGTTGTACTAAAGTCCAATTCAGTCAAGCTCATAACGCATTTGTATTTAATATAATTTGAATTATTTCTTTCTACATGCGAGCCAATCTAATTAATTATGGAACTATGCACACATATCAATTAGTACCATATGCAAAACCCTAATAACAAAAACGATTTCATTAGGCATGAAATGATACAAGGCGAATTATATACAGTACATACTCGATACTTTTCGATCGATACCAAGTAATTTTGGTATCGATACTTTTGAACCATTATAAAAACATTAAACGCAAGGCTCATTATACCATGTTCTGACTGACAACGAACACTTTGAAAACGAGTTATACCATGTTGTGACCGACATCGAAAACATGTTTTCGTTGCTAAAACTGGTTTTCGACTTAAAACATGTGTTTTCGTCCATGTAAAATCTGTCAAACGAAAACTAGTTTTCGCTGAAAACTACTTGAAAACTCACGTTCCACTAATTCCAATCGGTGTCTGCACTAGTTTTTTTCGATTGTTTATCGAAGTGGAAGTCATATTTTATCATCTTTAATACCCAATTTCGGATTTAGTGTTAATTGGCTGGCAAAAGTAAAATAAGAATGAAAGTAAGGGGTTACAAATGAAAAGAAAATTAGGGAAAAGCATTTTGGTTTGTGTAGTAAAACTGTAATCAGAGGATGTAAGAAATGTCAACGAAAACACTAACAGCCGGTGTGAACAGCCTTTAGCCCACAATCTCAAAACACGTTTTCAAAGTGTTTTCGTTGTCGGTCAGAACATGGTATTACAGAATTAAGGAAAAAGGGGGGCGGGGGCGGTTGAGGGAGTTCTAAAGGGGGCCTATGTAAAGTTTGAAAGCGCGGAACCTTATAGTTTTTAGGTAATTTGTTAATAAAGATTGTAATTTTAACCAACTTGTATGGAACCATTTCACAATATATAATGCACTTTCCACTCAATATATGCGCAGTTAGTGTGCACGTTCAAACAAATAAATACTTTTAGTCTATTACAGCTTTTTTTATCAAAAATTGATTGTTGTTTAATTATTATGAGAGTACATGCAGAATATGTGCAAATGGCAGCAGGACTGTGTTGCCGCATCTAAAAGAACCAAGAGTGGAAATTTCCTTCTATAGATGGTTGCCACTTCGTCAGTTTTGCAGATGGTAAAAAAGTAATAATTTCCTATTCAAAATACGTTTAAAACTTTATAAATTTACTACTGAACAAGGTTTTTCTTTTTTTGTTTTTGTTTTGTAAGTAGTTTACATTTAGGTACGATCTATTATAGCACGAAAAATTGTAGGTGAAAAGGTAAGTTTATGAAAAGGCATTGAGGAGTGGCAACACTGTAGTAAGCAATACTGACAGCTCCAATAATCGACAAAATTCTGCGTATACGTTCTGCGTTCTTGACTAATTTCAGCTTAATGGCGTGTTTTTCGCTTCAGGCCCGTCCACATACAACTTTGGCGTTGCGTTGGCGCTGGCGTCGC